TGGAGTATTTTGAGTCACTGACCTATATGCAGTGGCTCAAAGGGCTCCATCTCTACTTTGAAGCAAGGAAACTTTCCTCGAAATTTTGATAATTTGAAGAAAGTTTTCAAGCAATTAACAAAGGATTACTCGCTATGAGGTAAAAATTCTAGATTTTCACCTCATAGCGAGAGCTTCCCTTTCATTGCTTGAAAACTTTCCCCAGCTTCAAAATTGGGGAAAGGGCTGTAAAGTCGACTCCGATACCAGCAGGTACCAGAGTATTTAAAAGAGAAGCCCTCGTACGAGTTTCTATGAAGACCTTCTCATTCAAGAAGATCTTAATAGAAAATCGTACGAGGGCATTGGAAACTCGCGTCTGGTACATGTTGGTACCAGAGTGTTTGAGATTTGAAGACTCTGGTACTAACATGTACCAGAATTTATGATGAATTTAAGATGGACCATTATAAAATGGTAGCGGTTTGTTTCAAAAAATTTTAGATGAGATTTGCAGAGATATAGATTATATGATTTATACATATGAAAAATAATATATAAAAATATAATTTTGAGATAATTATGTAAATAATATTTTAAATATTTGAATTTGAGGTATAATTTTATAGTAAAATATATTATAAAGAGTATTTATATAAATATTGTAAAATAATATAAGTAATAAAAATTGAGACCCGCTCCCTGTTTTTGATGTTTTGTCACTTTTTCGGTAATTCTTATTGTTTCTGTTGTGCTGGTTGTGGAGGTGGTTGTTGTTGTTGTGCTGGATTTTGAACTGTTGGTTGTTGTGTTGGATTTTGAACTGTTGGTTGTTGTGTTGGTTTTGGTGCATGCCTGCGTCTGTGTCCATGTGACGATGTAAATGTTTTAGGTAGTCCTGGTGCAGGTGCTTCTCTTGGAGGGTTTGGTGGTATATAGGTTCCACTAGCTAGTATATAAGTTCCACCAGCTGGTATATAAGTTCCACCAGCTGGCACATATGTTCCATCTGCAGCATAATGTCCTACCTGACTTTTCGTTTTTAAGAAAGCATTTACTAGGTCTGTTTTGGTCTGTTGTAACTCTTTTTCTTGACTTTTCACAACAGTTGCTCTAACGGCGTCATAGGCACTTTGAACTGCCTGTCTCGTTGCTGCATCTGTTATTTTCGTCATATTTTGTGCTACTTCTCTTAACTCTTTGTCGAAACCTTCAGACTTCAGTTTCTTTCCAGATGAGAAGTCGTTCACTAGTTTCACCTTACTATGAAGAGCTTCGAAGGCATTCTTAAAGTCAGCATTCATTAAAGCTTCATTTGAACTGTCTTCATCCGCTTGTATTTTTGTCCTTATTGACCCTATAAGTTGGGCTGCTTTAGCGTTGGCTTGGGCATCTAACCAGTCATTATTAGCTTTTATATATTCTGCGCTTTTCATTGCCTTTTGTATGGCTGCGTCGTTATTTTTACTTTCTTGCGCTAAGTTTTCATACTGTACGGTTTGGTTTTGCAACTGTAAAAGTTTTTCTGCCTTTACATTTGCTTCAACTTCTTTTTTATACTCATCGCTATCCATATATGTCTTCAGGGCTTTTTGTTTTATCTCTTCATCTTTCAGTATTTTATATTGAGTAGTATGGTTTTTCAAATTTATGACATCTTGTTCCATTTTTGCTACTTCTGCTGCTTTTTCTGACACTTTTTTCGCATATTCCTCTGTACTTAGTTCTTTCAGTTGTTCTTCTTTCTTCTTTTTCTCTACGTTTAACTCATTGAGTTTCTTTGTCTGTCTGTCATATTCTAGTTTCTTTTCGTTTTCACTTATTTGTTTCTGTATGTCTATGTTTGACTTTTTGACATCTGCTATTTGATTTTTGAGTGAACTCAAATTCATTTGACTTTGAGGGTTATAGGCTGTTCCGTCTGCAGCTCCACCATAGCCTGCCATTTTCGCTAAAAGTGCCGCTCTTAAACCTCCACTCTGTGCACCAATGACTCGGTTTAAAAGCATAGGATTGCTTGACATTTGTTGCAACATAGTGGGGTCATTCAGCATTTGTTGTTGCAACTGTTGTTGTGGTGTCAGTCTTACTATTGGATGTTTCAATGCTCTCTTCCTCTTACGTATATTCTTACGTAGCTTACGTGGCATTTTAAGTGAAGTTAAAAAGCGGCTTTTGACAGATGTTTATATGACACTTTTTGTTCAGCACAAAAAACTACTCGGTCAAAGTGTTGTCAGTTTTGTAAAATAACCGTCCTATCTCATTCTATAAGGGGAAAAGGCTTCTCAAAGTATACTTCCTTGGAACGCCTGTAACTTTTCCTGTAGCGACGATAGACCCTTACTTGTCCGGACAAAGTTATACTATTTTGAGTGCTCTACAAAAAAGTCAACGGCGACAACTCTCAAAAACCGTTGTGTAAAAAGTTTTACCGTTGGACAAAAAAGTATATATAGAAAACAAAAAACGTTTATAGTTCATTCAATATTTGAGATGGAACGGTTTGCCAACGGTAACTATTAAATAAAATAAAAAAATAGGGGCGGCGACAAATTTGCCCAGCCAGTAAAGTATTCAATTTTTTTTTGCATTTTTTTTTAAAGCTTCTTAACTTAAATCATGGAATGTCTCAAAGACAAAAGTAGCATACAGCATGTAAAGCTAAAGAAAGATAATCATAATTAATACCTTAATTTTTAATATTACGCATTTTTAGGTGCAAAATTTAAAAACATTCTAATACAATAGAGCAGTTTCCAAAAGTAGCATACAGCATGCAAAGCTAAAGAAAGATAATCATAATTAATACCTTAATTTTTAATATTACGCATTTTTAGGTGCAAAATTTAAAAACATTCTAATACAATAGAGCAGTTTCCAAAAGTAGCATACAGCATGCAAAGCTAAAGAAAGATAATTATAATTAATACCTTTAAAGTTTAAAATCTTGATTTTTTTTAAAATCAAATATTTATAACTTTAATACATACAGCTTAAACCTTATACTTGTTTTCTCTTGTGAGAAAGCAATCTTACAAAGCTAACAATCCTAAAAAATAAAGAATTAAAATTTCATACAATCTTTTTTCGAATCTGTTCTTTTCTTAAGCCGCGAGCGAAGCGAGTGGCTTAGTTTCGTAATTTCATACAATCTTTTTTCGAATTTGTTCTTTTTGTCTCCCGCGAGCGAAGCGAGTGGCTTTTTATTTTTAAAAATTTTTTTTTCTTTCTTACTTTTTTTTCCCCTTACTTACAAATTTGATAGTAACTTACCAAATCTCTCTATCATATAATAATAAATTAATCCATTTTTTGTTTCAAATCCGACACTTTACATTTCTGACATGTAAACTTGTCACTTTTCACCTCACCTCACTGGGCAAGTTTGTGCCCCCCTCTAAAAAATAGAGGGGGTTACCGTTGACGAAAACGGTTTATTTTAAACTTTTCTATGAGTAGTCCGAAAAAAACAGTTCATTTTTCATAATGGAAGGAAGAAAAAGTGTCGCAAACAATTCGTCGACTACCTCTGCAGTTAAAGTTCCTACAACTTATGTCTCACCATTCTCAAAACCCTTACGACCTCCTATAATACCAAAGCAACTTCCTCATACAATTGCAAACAAATTGTTGGACAATATGCATTTGCACAAAGAAACAGCTCAGCCAACAGGTCAGGCAACAACAACTATCGGAACAGAAGCATTTTCAGAAGAAGTTCATACCAATCAGACTCCAATCGAACATACAGAAACACAACCACCCGAAAATACAGAAACACATCCAATCGAACATACAGAAACACATTCTGCAATGACCACTAGGTCGCAAACACGATATCTCGCCTTTAGCAAACAATTTAAGTCTCAAATTCAAGACACACAAGATAGCGACACTCCTCTTTCAGAGAAAGTTCATAGAAAATACGCAAAGCAAAGGTTAGAATTGTTAGATAAGTTAAATGAACAGTGGGGTTCAGAAGACAATCGAGATTATAACGAGATGTTTCAAGCTGTCATGGATGCCATTCAGCCTCTTGAAAACGAAATCAAAGACCCTGGCGTACTTGTTGACATGTTTGCTTCATATTTACCCGTTACTGCCAATCTCATAGCGTTGCAAGCTATTGACCAGTTCATTCACTTGTTTCCAAAGAACTTGCAGAAGCATTTACAAGAAGTTAAAATTGCTGAATTTGTCCGTTTATATCCAAATTCATACAATTATTTGGAAGAATTGAATGAACATGGTGAAAGGTCATTCTATTTATATTTCTACACAAAAGACAACCAGTCAAAACGACTATACTGCATTGAACCTATGCCTCAATTCTTAGACAATTTCCACGTTATAACAACTGTTGCTTTAGATATTCCTGCCAGAGTTCCATATGGAGGAACAGTAACTATCTCAAGCTTTCCCAGGGCTATAAAGGAAAGCCTCTCACAATTGCAAAATTCACACACAGCAGTTGCCAATTTGTTCAAGATGTCGAGTTCCATTTCCTCAACAATACGACTTTCATCATAGAGACTCCTCAAGAAGGTATATACAAAGTTTTCATCGCAGGATTTGTTGCTCCCAATGGCGAAGAAGAAGAAGTCGAAGAAATCCTCACCTCAGAGAGCGAAGAAGAAGAAAATTTCCAAGACATTCAAGATTCAGAATATACCGAATAAAAACTTCATTTATACTAAACATCTTCAGGGCTAGAAGGGGCGCAGCCCCTGGAAGCCCCAATACCTTTTTTTTTATTATTGTAATACAATATAGACAGATGCTTTATTCTACAACAAAAAAGCCAGAATCGATTTTTTGTCGAAATCTTAAATATAATGAAACAATAAAATCTTAATTATATCCATTATGATTTGAATATTTAGAAGTATAACAAATGATAAAAATATTCATATGAAAATCAATGATGTATTCTATGTTTTTTTAACTAGAAATGATATCAGTGAAGTCATGTGTCAGATTTTTGTTGACTCGACCTTTAAATTTCATTCATTTGATCAATGTCAAAAATATACGATCAGAGTGCGCACCATACTTATTTTCAATCTCACAAACAAAGAGCAGAGGTTTCAAAGCTCTTGAATGATATATTGCTTAAACCTCAGATACAACCTGAAGTTATCTTGAACAATTTGATTAAAGTCATCACGATTGTCAATGGCGAATGGGAACCGTATTCACCCGCATATTTTGGATCTACTCAACCAGAATTATTATTTCAATTTCTTAAAAGCGAGGGAATATTGAAAGCACAACCACAAATTCGAGATGATATAATTCACATATTATCACACGGAGCGAGTGTTGTTTATGCATTAATTAATCCTACGAATAAATTATCAACTGTCGAAAATACCATGGTTTTACTTAACATCATTGTCGAGCCGCATAACAATGATGAAAAAGAAAATGCTATTGTCGTTTTGAAATACATTATGAAATATACGACTCTGAAACTTGAAGATGAAAAAATCGCAGATTTCCTTGCAGAAAAATTAGATGAAATTTGTCCATCAATTATTTGCTATGTCGTCGAAAAACTAAGCTCAATGTCAGAAAATACAGCAACTATATTAACAAATTATCTAATGAATTACATTGACGATCACAAAAATTCTACAGATGATTTTGAAAACGAACAACGATCATTGGCATTGGAAGCCATTTCGTTTATTCCAAAAGCTTCAGAAAATCATGCTCAAGTTTATACTTTAATGGAATTGTACTTACAATCGGACCAGCTAGTATACAATGAATCAGGATTAATAGTTGCACAGTCAGTTTCTTTGAGTATCGAAACAATCAAAAATTATATTCTTAAATTCTTGGATAGCAAGGAGTATTCACTACTTTTCCATACTATTAGTGTACTTATTTCATGTTCTCCAGTCTGGGATAAGGATGACGATTGTTGTTACATCATTATTGATAAAATAAATGATTTGTTAAATTTCGGTAGCGCTACAATCCAAGATAAGGCTATTGATCTTCTTAGCTTCGCAGATCCTACTAGTTCCAGAATTACTGAAGAAATTCTTGACACTGTAATTGAAATGTTGGCAACGAAGTCAAATATATTTGAAACCGCACAAATTCTTATTAATACTGTGTTCAACATCAGAAGAGGCACATTAGAATGCGGTATTACTATGGACGAATTTAGGGACAAGTTTTTTGAAAATGAACAGGAAATTATTGAGGCTTTAAAGAATTCACCAGATGCTCAAGAACAATTTCAAAAGTTGGTCGCAATTCTTCAAGCGGATGCTGAATATTAAAAATAATTCGAAAAGAATAAATTATCCTTATATTTTTAGCTTCATTTTTATGAATTGTCTTGTTTCTGATAAAATAAATAGTCCGTTTGAATTAATTTCAAAAGTGCGTTTTTTATTTAAACGATATTTCCTTGTGCAATCAAAATTTGTATCATTTTCACTTAAAAGGAGTAAGGAAATTAGTTTTGGTTAACGCAGTAATAACTATTATTTTCATATTTGAAGTATTTGATGGTTATGATAGACTTTATGTAAAAATTTTATTGTATTCATAAAGTAACCTATGCATATTATTAGCGAACAATAGAAAACTAAAGATTTTTTAAAACAAATTTAAAATATACTAAACAATTTACAATAAACATAACATATAAATACTACCAAACAAAATTAGTAGGCTTTGAAGCAAGATTTGGCAACTCAGCAAATATGATATCATTTGTTTCGAACGTGGCCGTTGGATCTCTAATAACTTGCCTCCTCCTGGGATTTATTGCTGGAGTGTAAGATAATGAATCAGGAGGTTGTGGCAAAAATTGAACTTCACTTTTCTTTTCAGTTCTTTTTGCCTTTTTATTTCCGATTTTGTTCTTTTTGAAATTGGAAAAAGATTTTGAGGTGTTTGGCTTCTCACTCAAATCAATCCTGCCTTTGGAAATGCTACCATAGAGCAATGATTTAGGTTGTTGCTTCTGACTCGTATTTTTTAGATCATTTTTTAGAGTTTTAATTTTGTGCTTCTTTGTTTGTGGAGCAACACTCTTAGATTGCAATGGCTGCAGCTTTAGTATCCGCAAACTATCATTATCTCCTTTTTTTGCGTTTTTCCGAATCGGAATTTTTCCAAAAATTGGAGTTTGATATTCATCATCTATTGTAATAGTTTTTCTTGGATGTATCTTATCAGATCCTTTTTGTATTTCAGACTTTTGAGAATTACTTGAAGTTTTTTGTTTCAATTTCAAACTTTTTTGCTTGTTTACCTTAGGTTCTTTTGATTTCTTGAACGTAATGTTAGCAAACTTGGATCTCTTTGATGAAAATGGAAAGAATTTCAATTCTTTTGATAAAATTTCATGACTTTTCATTAATTTATATTCTTTCAGTGTTAGTTCATCACTTCTATCAATTACCTGAGGAACAATGAAAGGACAATCTTCATTCATTGATATCGTGGCTAAAGAAATTCTTAATTGTCTTGAAACTTTAGGATCTAGATCAAACTTAAGCGCTTGTGATAGGAAATTACATATAAATGGCAATCTTCCGAGGTATTTACGCGTATTGGCTGCTAACAATATAAAAATACAAATTCTTCTGATGAATAAAATTCCCCATTGAGTAACACTTGCGTTATTTGAATATTCTGCGAGGTTGTTAAGAATAATATCGAGTCCTAATCTATAATAAACAGGGTTTTGTAAAGATTTTTGATAAATCATGGTCAAAATTTGGTCTTTTGGACCATATTTCATCATCATAGTATATAAATCGAAATGTTCTGGCGAATTAATTGGAGTTTTATGAATTATTTTGAGAATATTCGAATGAAAATTTTTTATTGTTTTTGGATGATTGGAAATACAGTATTTAAGACTATATACAAATGCAAATGATCCTAGAGGTAAGTTTTCAAGAAAGCTATTTATAAAAACTTTTAAATTTTCAATTCTATGATTTGAATCTCTGCAAATATTAAAAAAGATTCTAGATATCGTTGTCAAAGCAGTATCTGGAGCGTATGGAACTATAGATGTAATTCCATTAAGCAAATCATTCATATTTGTTTGATATTCTCTTGATTTATATGGAATACACTTAATAAGCTCCTTAAATATAGTAAGTAATCTGACAATTGTACTCCATGTTGAATCTTCGACAGTTTGAATGTTCTTCAAAATATAAACGTTTCCAAAAATTGCCAAAATTGTACTGAGTTCAGATGTTATATCCTTCCAGATGTTGTTGTTATGAGCATAAGATTCGTATATTATATTAATATAAAGTGAATAATCGTTCAATACTAAAGGCAATTCAAACAATAGAAAGTTTTTTCGTTTCGTAGGGTTGATTGATTCAAACAGATCTAGAGCATCTTGAACATTTGTAGGATGAAATCTTATATTGACATTATAAAGTAATTGAACAAATAAATCGAAGTTTTTGACTGGATCTGGAACAAACATTTCTTGGAAGTAGTCTTTAATAAGTGTTCTTATGCTTTCCCAATATTCAATTGGATTAATTGGTTTCCAAATGTCGATATAATAAATAAAAAAAGGAAAAAATTTTTCCCATATATGCGTCACTGTTTTTGGATAAGGGCATACGGCGGAAATAATCTTGTTTGGTGGATTTCCAAGTTCTTCGTTCCACCAAACGAAGGCAGGATTCATAATTAATTGAAATTATAAACATACATTTTTTTGTATAGGCTCATACAAAAAATTGATAAAGGAAATATTTCAATTGTGATGCTTACAAAACGTTTTTCGGACGCACAGTAGAATATGGAAATCGAGATATCATTAGCCAATAAAATAATAAGGGGACAGAAGTGCATATCAATAAATACGAAATATAAAGTTCAGCGAAATCAAAAGATTTCAATTTGAGCATTATTATCGAGAAGAGCAATCAATACATTAATCAAAAGTCTTGTCTGAATGTTATGTAACATTTGTCTGTGATAATTAGAGCTGAAGAATGCTATTTCGCATCCACTGAATGAGTTTGATAAATGTCACGTTTTTTCAATGGATTTTCAGGAAAGTAGCGGTAGTTTAATTGGCAAAGGGCTTCCAAATCAAGAAGCTAATGTAAATGAACAAGCTACTGAAAAGAATTCATTAAATGATCAATTTCTTGCTTTAAATGAAAAAATTGATGCATATAATCGGAAAAAAGCACCTGAAAAAACAGGAAAGAAGTCATCATCGAAGAAAAACAACTCACAAATAACAAAACTCCTTCGTTCCAGCAAGAAAATTTCTTTGCAACCGATTAAGAAAGTAAAAAAGCAAAGCGAAACTAAATCCATCGAAAACAACGCACAGCAAGTAGATACAAATGTATCTGAAGAAATTTCTGAGAAAAATAATAACAATGAAACCGAAATTCAAGAAAATTCTCAACAGAATCCAGAAGAACCTTCAACCACAGAGAATGAAATCAATTCAATAGATAATAATGATAATATCAATACATTATCAAAAAATATTTCTACCAAAAAAATGCCTGTTCGAGAAATCCAAATTCCAACAGCATCTAACGATAAATCATCGATTGGCTTTAGAGGAATTAATACTCAATTTATACCACCAAAACCAGTTTTTCAAAATCCAATAGTTTATTTAACTCCAGAAGAAAAAAGACTACTCAAGAAAACTAAAAAGCCAAAGTTAATTGATACAATCATTACAGATCAATCAGATGACGCTCCTGAAGATATTTATCTCAATTATCTCGAAATATATCATAATATATTAGATTCTGACTACTTAGACATAATAAAGTCCGAAATTCCAGAAGATTTATTGGAAATTTTGACAGATTTAGACTTTGATTATAAAATGATTACATTTACACCTGAATACGTCGAAAGGATCAAAGCTCATAAGCTCGATAGTGCTATTCCAGTTCCAGAAGACCCAGATTCCGAACTTGAAGAAGAAATTTTTAGAAAACAAAAGGAAATTGACATGAGAAAGCCACTTAAACCATTACAAGATATAGATTTAGACTCTTCTGACTTCGAATACCAGGATAAAATGAGAAATGTCGTTTTAGATATCAAAGATAATCGAGGAAATCCGAAATATGTCAGTGACACGTTCCAAAGTGATTCATATTATTCATATCCATCATATTCAGATTCATATTCCTACAAAAGTTACCAAAACTCTGAATCTCAGAATAATATTCCAGATGATTCGTATAATACTGACAATTACAATGATAACTATGCAAATCATGATGATATTGAATCAACACCATTAGTTGAATCTAATTCCGAACAAGAAAATCCTGAATTTATTCCAGATGAAGAGGAAGAAGCGAAACAAGAGCCAAAACAAGTTGCGCCAGTCAGTCTCATCCAAGAAGCCATCGAAGAAGACAACAAAGTCAGAAGAAGACGTCAAAGAATTCAACCAGAATTCCCAGTAAAATTTTTTGAAGAAGAAAAACCTCCAAAACCGGAAAAACCGAAAATTGAACTCAAACCAGAAGATTTCAGACAAGCATTGTATATAGATGCACCATTGGATAATGCCAAAGCCACAGCCATTAAGAAGAAGAGTGAATCTTTAGTTAATTTGGAAGAAAACAACAAAAATCTTCCATCCAAACAAGAAATCATTGTAGAAAGGGTTCCAATTGCAGGAACAAACAAAGTCAAGCTCATTAAAAAGATTGTCAAGAAAGTTCTTGTTGAAAAGAAAGTAGAACCAAAGAAAGAACCAGAAAATGTTGAATACCAAGAAATAGAAATCAAAAAGAAGATAAACAAAAAGAAAAAGAAGAGGAAAACAAAGAAAACACCAATCGTTACTAAAGAAGAAGAACCAAACAATTGGGTTTTCGATATAAATAATAATCAAGAAGAAGAAGAAACTAAAAATAAAGAAGATGAAAATGACGAAAAAATTGAAAATTTAGTTGATGAAATACAGATATTTAATGAAGAAGAGAGACAGAAACAGTTGGAAGAAGCGAAAAGACAAGAAGAAGAAAGAATCAAACAGGAACAAAAGCAAAAGGAAGAACAGGAAAAACAGAAACAACAAGAAGCTCAAGAAAAAGAAGAAAAACTGATGCAAGTTTTGCAATTTCTGAAAGAAACAAATCAATTACCTCCAAAACAAGTTGAAAAACTAGAACAAAAGCAGAAACAAAAAGGAATTGTTCCAAAAGAAAAAGAAGAAGAAAAAACAGAGAAAGAGAAAGAAAAAGACGAAAAGTTTTCAAAAGAAAAGAGAGAAAGATCTCCTATCTACAGAAGAAAAGAAAATAGAAGGAGAATTGAGTTGGTTTCTCCTTCAAAATACTTCGATGATTCTGATGATTTCGATACAAGAAAGAAACAACAAAAGACTCAAGAAATGCCTAAACAAGAAATACGTCCGAAAGGAAAGATAATTGATCCTAAACAATTCTTTGTCGAAGAAGAAAATCAATTAAAAGAAGAAATTAAACCGAAAATTGAAGAAAAAGTGACAGAAGTGAAGTCAGAAGAAAAACCAACAATTCCTGAACAAACAAATGAAACAATTTCTCCTGAAATCAAAGAAGAGAAACCAATAATTGAACAAATTAAGGAAAATGTTGTTCAAAATCAAGAAAATGAAATAAATGTTGATCAAGATCAACAAATTCCTAATTTGGTTGAATCTGAAAAACAAATTCCAAAAATACAAGTCGAGAAAATCGAAATTCCTCCAGTACAAAAAGAAGAAAAAGTTCCTGAAACTAAAAAAGAACAAATTCAAATTCAAAAAGAAATTGTTCAAGAAACTAAAAAACAAAAGGAAGAAAGAACTCGTGATTCTAAGAAACAAAAGGAAGAAAAAATTGAAAATACTAAGAAAGAAAAAGAACAAAATCAAAATCCTGAAAAACAAAAAGTGGAAATTGGTCAAGAAAAAGTGACAGAAAAACCGCCAACAGATAAAAGAAAACCATCAAATCAAATACCAGTTGAACAGATTGCATCAGAACTCCCAGTTATTGAGAATGAGCCAGAGAAAGTTGAAGAAAAGATTGAAGAGGAAGAAGAGGAAGAAAAGAAAGAGCCAAGAATCAGATTCACAAAAATTAATTGTATTGTTGATGAAGGCTGGAAATTCTATGATTTTAAGACAAACAATCCTGGAAGAATGCTTGGTATCAGTGACAAACCAATATCATTACCAATTTCTCCTGATTTCAATTTAGAAGACGAAGAAAAACTTCAGAAACCACTTCTATTTTTAGATGCAATGACAGATTGGAAAGAAATGTCTGACGAAGTTGTTGTATCAGAAAAAGAAGAAAGACTTCAAACTAAAAACGGAATCATCAAGTTTGAAGCAAATCTAAAACCAACAGGTGCAATGACATTCAAGAAAGAGCCATTTTACGACAGATTGAGGAGATCTCCTTCATTTGATTTCGCTGAATTGGAAAAATTCTCTAGATTCTTCAAACAGGAAATGAACAAACAGAAGAAGAGTCTCAAACTGAAAGATATCAAATTCGATACCAATTTCGAAGTATTGAACATCAAAAATAGATCTACTAAAATTATCCATGAATCTAAACCTGAAATAAAACAAGAAATGAAACAAGAAAAACGTGACACAAAAGTGACAAAACCAATTATCATTGAAGAACCAAAAATTACTAATGAAACATGGGATAATTACAAAGATGATCTATTTATTGAGAAAGAAGATGAAAAACAACCAGAAAAAGAAGAAATTACCGAAGAAAAAATCGAAGAAAAAGAAGAAATTCATGAAGAAATTGAAATCGAAAAAGAAGAAATTATTGAAGAAAAAGAAATTGTTAATAATAAAGGAGTAGAAACAGAAAAAATTGAAGAAAAAGTTGAAGAAAAAACAGTTCAAAACAATAAAGTTGAAGAAGGAAAAGAAGTTGTTATTAATAATGAACAAGAAATCCTTAAAGTTATTGATAAAGAGGAAGAAGAAAGACTTGCAAAAGAGAAGGAAGAACAAGAGAGAATTGCAAAGGAAAAGGAAGAAAGAAAGAGAAGAAAAGAAGAAATGAAGAAAGCAAAAGAACAAGTAAAAAAAGAAATCGAAGAAAAGAAGAAACAGAAACAAAAACTTCTCAGACAAGTAAAGAAATCATTAAGTCAAAGAGTCGGACAACCTCTTTCGTATCCTTTACCTCCAATTGTTCCTGAAATTGAAGATGAAGAAGAAAACGAACTTGACATTATTGAGAGAGGTTGTCCATCATATCCTGTTGATGATTACATTGACGAACAACTGTTTGAATTAGCTGATGATGATTTGAAGAAAGAAATTGAAGATGTCGCATATAATTTGATGTTTGATGTCAATCTGAAAGAAGCAAAAATTTATGATGAAATCAATTTCGGATTTTGCGAAAAACACAATATTTCACTACCAAAACGAAGAGCATATGACATTGTCATGTCTGAGAAAGAAAAGAGAGACAAGTTAGTTATAGAAAGGAAGCAGACCGAAGAAGAAATGAAGAAACAGAAAGAAAGAGAAGAAGAAGAAAACATCAGAAGAGAAATCGAAGAAAGAAAGAGACAAGAACAGATAAAGAAACTCCAAGAAGATCAAGAAAGAAGAGAAATAGAAGAAAGAAGGAAGAGAGCAATCGAAGACAGAAAGAGAATGGAATTAGAGAGGCAGAAACAAGAAGAAGAGCAAATGAAGAGAAAACAAAGAGAGGAAGAAGAAAGAAGAAGAATTATAGAGAAAGAAAAGAAGAAGAGACAAAAAGAAGAGGAAGCAAGGAAACAGAAATTGTTGGAAGAACAAAGAAGAAGAGAATTCGAAGAAAGAAGAATCAGACAACTCGAAGAACAGAAACAAAGAGAAGAAGAGAAACTCAAAGAAAGAAAAGAAATGGAAGAGAAGAGAAAAGTAGAATTAGAAATGGAGAAACAGAAACAATTAAGAGAATTGAAAGAGAATTACGAACTCAGAAAGAAAGAATTGGAATTGCAGAAACAGAGGAAAGAACTTGAAGAACAAAGAAGAATTGCTGAAGAAGAAAGGAAAAAGAGAGAAATGGAAGAAACTAAAAAGAAATTGCTCGAAAAGAAGAAGAAAAACGAAAACTCAAAGAAGAAAAAGAAAATCAAAATCCTCGACGAAGAAATTCGTGTTCAAAACATCCTCAAAATCAATGCAATCAATGCAAACAAACTCCATTATGTCGTAGAAGAAGATGACGAACCAGATGAATACAGAATAAGATACAATGGTGTTTTGTTCTGTAAATCATGGCCAGAAAACAATGACATTTATGCAGATTTGAGAGATAATTTCCCTGTTGTTTTCGCTATGACTTTCCCTGATGATAAATACATGGTAAATTCTATCGAAACATTCGAGAATTTGGCTGAAAATCCAAAGATTGTTGAGATGGGAATTGACATGAATTATGAGTATTCTTTGACTCCTTTGACTCAAGCAATGCAGCCAAGAGTTCAGACAGCTTTGCAGGCTATTTCAACAGAAATAGAAACTGCTAAAGACTTACTCGAACACGACAAACTGATTGTCAATGATATAATCAGACAAAAAGCTTTTGAAAAATTATAGTTTTTTTATTAATAAAATAGATATTTTTAATGTTTTTAATTTGATAGCGTATTTGTAAGATAACTTAAACATAATTAACACTTAAAATATGTTGATCCAGTATCGTATGATGTTGAAATCATTGATAATGTTTTGCAGTAACGTATTTACAGTTCTTTTTATATCTTCTCGATCAAATCTTAACTATCTAAATACCGAAATATAGATGAATTAAAAAATTGCCATGTAAACAATAAAGTTACACGACATTTTCCTGACACTTGAAAGTCTGCTCCTTGAATTTACAAATAAGGAATGTGTCACACTAATGATGTTAAGTTAAAAAATGCAAAAATCAAAAGCTATTGTAAATAAATATTGCTCGTTGTGAAAAATAAAAAAAAATATTTTTGAAGAAGAATGACCGCGCCACCAGATGACCATGAGACAGAGCCATATGAGGGCTGCGTTAGGTCTCAGTATAATGTCATGGCGGATAGCGACGAAGATTCAGATGATTCAGAAGATATCGTAACAAAATCAGAAGCAAAATCTAAAGAATCAAAAGAAGAGCAAACATCAGTTAAGAAATCATCGTGTTGTATATTACTTTAATGTTATTAAATGTTGTTTTTGTTTTGTTTTAATACATATTTTACAAAATAATCAATAATTTTTCATACTATTTTTTAACTCAATGCATTTTAGAACGGTCATCCAAAAGTGTAGTACCTTCGTCCTTGATTTTGTTAAATTCGTCGAGAATTTGTTATTCATCAAATAATCAAAATCAAGTTCATTGAACTATGACATAGATTTGCATAAATACAATAACTTTTTGAGTGAATTTCTCAGTTAACATCTGAATATTTCTAATATTGAATATTGTGAAGTTTTCATCTCAAGGTTAAGACACTAAAATGCAATATTTGACAATATCTGATAGAAGATAGATGATGATCCGATACATCATCAATAGTTATGAGATTTTTCTAATAGAATGTTTATTAATCTGCTCAAATACGGCATAATCAAGTCATTATAAGTGCACACATGAATAGTATTATATGAGCCGTATGAAATAGGCGAAATACTTGCTGCATTTAGTTTGATGAAGAGAAAAGTTGAATAATTTCAATTTTCGAATTTTAAAAAATTGTTCATTGGAAGCTGTTTTGATTAAGCATGCTAACCCGGCAGTTTTCAACAGATTACGGTTTTGTTTGTCACTTTTCAGGTCTCAGAATAATGGCCTCGAGCGATCCGTTCGATATCTCGAACGCCTGCATCAATGGCCGCTTCAATCCAAATCATCCAAACATATCGAAAATATATACCAACGTTAATCTGGATTTAGGTCCAGACCATTGGCGTTTCCGATCTTGGAACCCAAATTTCGGTGATATCAATCGCTATACATTAGAAGAGTGGGTTGGTGATGGCAGATACTCTGATGTATTCATGGGTTTTCAAGACGGCCAAAAGAAATGCGCTATCAAACTTCTTAAACCAGTTAATACAGACCGTGTACGCCGTGAATTAAAGATTTTGACAATTATTCAAGGTCATCCATGTATTCTCAACTTAATGGATATCGTTATCGATGGAAAAGAAGGAATCCCGTCAATGATTACAGAATACGTTCCAAACTCCACATGGAGGACACTTTTCTCCACAATGGATCTCGAAGATATTAGATTTTATACATACAGAATATTACAAGCTCTTTCATATACGCATTCAAAGGGAATTATGCATAGAGATGTCAAACCATTAAACATTCTTTGCAATTCGCCTAGAAACAAAGTTATCCTTGCTGACTGGGGCCTGGCCGAATTTTATCACCCAATGAGAAAGTATTCTGTCCACGTCGCGACAAGATATTACAAATCTCCCGAAATTCTTCTTGATTACGAATATTACGATTACTCGCTCGATATATGGTCTGTTGGTGTTATACTCCTCGAGCTTTTAACTCTCAAACTCCACGTTTTCGATGGCGGAGACAACGAGCATCAGATTGACTCCATTGTCGAGGTCATTGGAGGAGCACCAATCTTAGATTGGGCTAGAAAATACAGAGTGAAGATCCACCGCGAGGAAAGAGAAAGATTTTCACAGATGAAGGGACAAAGTTTCGAAACTTTGATTCCTTTCTCTCGTCGTAAATTCCGTGACCCAGAAGCTCTCGATCTTGTTAACAAAATGCTTACAATCGACCACAAAGAAAGAATTACAGCAGATGAGGCCCTCCAGCACCCGTTCTTCGAAATGGTTCGCCAGGCCGATGCTGCCAAGCAGTAATCTATTTATTTTTCATCAAAATATAGTTGTAAAAAACTCATTTTCTAAATATTAAATTTCTCAATATTTTTTTAATACATTTTACATATCATATCTATTATAAGTAACTTGTAAAGCTTTAAATTAAGAGTGAATCATAGATTCAACATGTTTATACAAATTAAATACGTAAATTAAGTTAATTTTGAGCTTAAATATAAATCATTCGAATTAAGTTTAACTCAATTAACTCAGTTCAAGGGTGTTATATGTTTTTCAAGTACAAATTCATTCAAAATGATTTCGTAATGAAATGAAAGATAATCTCGGTTGCGAGAATTATTGTACGTACTTCAAAACTTCTGCACTTTTATATTTTCAAGGAAATTTAAGCTACCATGACTGAACATCAATCATATAGCAAAATTTCTTTGATCAAAATTTAAACTTATTATTCGCCAGTTATATAAAGATTATTGAAAATATAGTATAAGAGAAATGTTTTTATTTTAATGAAATTGATATATTTTATAAAAAAAGTGTTTCATTCAAAACAATATCCCAGGGATATGATTACTGAATGAGTTATGTAACAGATTTGAAGTCGGCATCATTGGAAATAGGAGCAACCATTGAGTCGTAACCTTTAGTTGACTTTGGTTCTCTGATTAACAAAATTGCAAATAAAACTGATAAAATTCCTGAGGCAAACCAAGCGTAAATGGAGTTGAGAAGGGAATACTTTGCGATACTTGCAATGTAAGTGTTATCTTTGCTTGAAATACCTGCAAGGCATGCAATAAGTATAGCATAAAGGCAAACGAGTACTACGTAGAGAAGTGTTTCTTGTTTGACGTTGATATCCTTCTTAACTAATTCTGCAGCGAATATCTTTCTTGTAATCAAGTTCCAGAAGCAAGCAATAGCAGATAAATATGCAACAAAGAACAGGTAGTACATGGTAACCTTACTTAAATATGAGCTATTTGTATGGAATGAGTTTTTGATCCAAAACCAAATTAAACCAATGAGTACATTCATAAACGCTGAAAAGATGTAAGCATATTTTGGTGTTGAATCTGTTCCACGCCAAACGAGGATGCCTAAAATAATAGCAAGAATGAAACAAACTGAAATCGAGATATATCTGAAAACAGAGGATATCATTGATAGGTAAAGGATTACTGAAGCTATACATGTTGATGCAATTGTTAGTACTGCTAAAGTACCTCCTATTTTAGCTAGAAGTTTAAAATCCATTTTTTTTATATGATCCCCCTGTTTTTTTAAATCAGACAATTCCCCCTTTATTTTTCAAAAATGGCTCTTCAACCTTATAAATTCCACAAAATATGGGACACTCCTGCTCTTAACAAACTAAATCAGCAGAAGATAGCAAACTCACAAGATTATCAAATTTCGGGCCTAGTTTACCGCTTTCATTGTCTCATTCCAGGTTCAATCAAGCCAGATCTCTATTTTATTGCGGTTTCATTACTAAATCCTCCGACATATGGCCATATTGTCACCATTAAAGTCAAATTGCTCCATAAGAAACCACATATTCTCCAAGAAGCCAAAGCACAATTCACACCGAATTCAAAAACATTCATAATCGAGGAAGGAATTACAATACCTGACATGACAAGAGTCTGGAACAAAGGAAAAGTTGGCATAGATTTCACAATCGAGTATACAAAATTAGATCTTACACCACCAAAGCCAGTACCAGTCAATTACAGAGAACTTACTGGCCATGTTGGTCTTGTCAACAGGGCATCAACATGCTATATGAATTCAGTTCTCGAAATGTTATTCTACATTCCAGCATTTCGTAAATTGATTTTCTCAATTCCTAACTCAGTTGGCATTCCACTTGAACTACAACGTCTTTTTACACTTCTTCAGCTCTCACCAACATCACCTACGACTACAGATCTGATTCACTCATTTGGCTGGACAGCAGAAGACTCTTTCATCCAGCACGACATCCAAGAGTTCATCCGCGTACTCATTGACAATCTCGAAGAGAAACTGAAGCCAACAGAACTATCCGGCCAACTTGGATCTCTTCTTTCAGGTGAAACAGCTGTTCAGATCAAATGCATCAATTCCGATTTCAAGAAAGAGACTCCTGAGATCTTCTACGACATCACACTCACTGTCAAAGGAAAGAAAGACGTCTACGCGAGTCTACAAGAAATTTGCGAAGACGAATTGTTCACAGGAGATAACCAATACGAGGTAGAAACAGGACGTAAAGAAGACGCAATCAGATCAACAAGGTTCAAGAAGTTACCACCTGTTTTGATGTTCCATCTCTCAAGATTCGAGTTTTCAATCAATTCGCCAACAGGAATGGAAAAAGTGACAGATGAATACGATTATCCGACCACTTTAGATCTTGGTCCATACACTGATTCGAGAGAGTCCGCTGTATACGACCTTCTTGCCGTGCTTGTACACATCGGAGGCAGCTGGGGCGGCCACTACATCGCGTACTGCAAATCAGGAAATGAATGGTTTAAATTCAATGATGAAAGAGTTGAAAAAGTGCCAGAAGATGATGCAATCACAGGAAACTTCGGTGGCAAGAAGAGTGAGAAGCACGCGTACTATCTCTGCTACATCAAGAGATCAGAGAGTTCGTGGGTAATGAACGAGAAAATCGAAATTCCGAAGTTTTTGAGAGATTATTACGAAGAAAAGAGAGAAGACTTGGATCCTTCCTGCATCGCAATCAGATTCACTAACGATGAGAACAAGAGATTACTCGTCAAGAAGACATCATTAGTTTCCGAAATATCCCAAAAAGAACTTTGGAAAGTCGATGATGAAAATTTCCCAGTTGAATTACTAAATCCAAGGAAATCTGTTGGAGAATACTTCACGAAAAGTGCTGTTTTGTACGAATCTGATTTCGACACGAAACAAATTGTCAATCCAAAGATCTTCGACATCGATTTCTTCTCAAGAACAAACACAAGAATCAAACATATGGGTTTAATGCCTTTCAATTCTGCAAAAAGTGTCAAACATTTGAGTCAAACCGTTGGCCAGATTCTCAAATTACCAGAAACATGTAATTTGAGTTGTTTCGATGACCAGGGCAACCAAATCAGAGATGACGCGAGACTTTCTGACTTGAAACGCCACAAACTCATTTTCCAAAGTGATGACATCAAATACGACATTTCTTTTGAAGAAAAAGACGAAGAAGAAGGAATTTTGAAAGTCAGAAATCTTATTCCAGAAATCGTTCTCGATACTGTTCCAAGGTTTGTTAATCACATCAAGAGATGTGTCCATGTTATAGTTGAAGGATTGGATCAATCATTAACAATAGAAATTCCTGATATAATGCCACTCAAAATCTTAATTATGTGCATCAGAAAGTCCTTGAATTTGCCAGATGAAGATGGTGTTTTGATTTACAATAAAGACGGAATGATTATTAATTCAAAAGGTTCTCAAAAATTGAAAGAAGCTTTAGCGGTTAAAGAACAATTTTCACAGTTCATGAAGATCAAGACACAAGCTAAGATTGTCAAAGGAATCAAACAGAGCGATGCAGACAATTACATCATGATTTCATTCCATGTTCACAACGAAATGTTTGATTTTGTTTCTGAGTACAAGAATGAGTTGCCACAGACACTGAAGATCAAAGATTTGCTTGAAGATGTCTCACAGAAGACATTCGGAAACAAATCTCCAATAAGAATCATCGAAATCACTAAATCTAGAATCACAAACATTTTCAATGAAAATTTGCAAATTTCAAATTTGATTGGAAAAAGTATCAGAGCTGAAATTGTTCCAAATGACCAAATTGATGCGAGATTGTTACCTATTTCCTTCTCAATGAACATCTCTAATCCATTGTATTCCACTTTCTTGGATCCTTTCTTGTTGTCTGTAAATGATGGAGAAGAATTCGAATTAACTAAGTCTAGAATTCTCTCAATGATTACAACACATATAAAGGAGTTCAATTTCGTTTTGTTGGTCGGTTCTAGATATATTCAACTTGATGACCACCATATCATCGCTGATTTGATTAAGTTATCTAAGAACTGCGAGTTGTTCATGGTTTTGACCCACAACGAATTGAACAAATTCTTAGAACGCAATGAGAACCAGGCAGTTAAGATATTGAACTAACTTTCGAAATTATATAGAAAAATTTTATTTAGAAATAAAGCTTTCTTGTAATAAGAGTTTTTGTACTAAATGAATCGTTTTACTTAGAGCATCTTAAACTTATACATTTTTGAAATTTTATATCAATATTGTTGGAATATTATTTGTATTCACTTTAGACATTAGTTTGTTGTGATGATTTTATTTGATTTTAGTTCATATTTTGAGTTTGTTTCTTTATCATTTTTTCATTAGCCTTACTTCCTCAGTAACTTTAACACAAAAGGAATATGATGAAATTCGAAAGAATCCTGATACAAAACTACTTGTTTGGCTTTGGGATCCGTGGTGTGAACATTGTTCAAGATTCAGACCTACCTGGCAATCATTCACTTCAACATTAAATGCACCAGATGATGTAATAGTAGCTGATATCAATTGCCAAGAAAGTCAAAATCTTTGTTTGAACTTAGCATCACCTGGTTATCCAAAAGTAATATGGATATCTAACGATTTAGATGAACCTCTTCTATACGACGGTCCTTTAAATAACGAAGGCTTACAATCTTTTACAAGAAAACAATTCAATTTTCCTTTCCATCAAATAAATAAGTCAGAAATACAAAATTACTTAGGAATGACTAATACAACTTCTGTATTTGTATACGAATGCATTAAAGACTCAAAAAATACTTTGATGAAAGAAATTGCATATAATTATAGGAATTTTGATTGCATTTTCTTATTGATTGAGTCTGACACACAACAATTTTACGTTTACAGATCTCCAACTAATCCAATTTACTTTAATGAAAAGTGGAATTACGGAAATCTTATTGAATTTATTGATAACAATACATATCCTCTCTTTCCAATGCTATCTGCAACATTGTTTAACAGATATAAATCGAGAAAAGAAATATTTGGCTTATTTTATATAAATCAAACCCAATACAATAAAGTATACCAGACAGCACTCACGATATCAAATAAATATCCTACCTCTTATATAATATTCGATCAAAGTGAATGGCTTGGCCAATTTATGAACGTTAAATCAACAGATTTACCATCATTCTTTATAGTTGATATAGATAATTCGAGATGGAAGAAATATGACTCTAAGTTTAGTGCATCAAATATTGTTGAATGGGCAAATTCATTAGATTTAAATAAAATTAAATGGGAAGGTCCAGGAAATGGCATATTTTCAGATTTTTGGACACAAATTTATCAATTAAAAGCATCTGGACAACTATGGATCATGATATTTGCAGTTATCATGATAATTGTGACAATAGGATCTTTTATTTTCATGGGAATCTGTCTTGGCTCTGAAAGCGAGTCAGAAATGATCAAAGAACCAACTCACACAAAAACAGATTGAAGAATTTTAACAATTAATCATTTTTTTCCTCATTTGGATTGAATATTATAATTAATTCATCATATTAACCTATATTCCACAGGTTAACGCTCAATTAGTAAGATTTCAAATCTTTTTCTCGAATTTTTATTTAATAATCTTTTTGTTTTTATAAGAAAGTAATATATTAATGTAAAAATATCTATTTATGCGATAAAAATTGTATAGTTGTTCACTAAATTTCGAATAATTTAATCAGTCATTGTAACTGTGCAAATATACTCACCACCAAGTGGGCACTGTGGATGCTGTTCAAGGACTTCAATCTTTCCTTGCTTTCCGAGTGATTCAAAGTACATCTGAACGTTAGCAATAACAATTCCGACATCGAAGCCACCGATGTTCTTGTATGGACCAGCATTGAACTGTGCATTGAAGATATGGATTGCTGGTTCATCAAAAACGATTCTGTAAGAGTGTGGTTTCATAGCGCATGGAATCTTATTGAGAGCCATGCAAATAACACCTCTTTCGCCAACAGTTTCAAGAGTAATTGGCTTTGCTGTCTTGAGATCGAAGAATTTGTCTTGATACTGATTAGCTCCACGGAATGAGCCAAAGAATTTGACAACATGCTCTACCCAGCGATCCTTATCATCACCACCGAAAGCAATAACAGCTGGAACACTGCAGTTGCCACCGCAGAATTCTTCTGATTTGCCTCTGTTGTAAGTGCCGCCGATCCAGCATGTAGCGATGTTATGCTGTGTCATTTCCATAACAGCGCGCTGGAGAATGTAACCGATATTGATAAATTGATCTCTTTCTCTCTTCTCATCTGTTTCCTTAGCAATCTTAGGGAATAACCAGCCATTTTCGTGGACAATGAATCCCAACTTGCCGAAGCCACTTGGAGCAAGCTTGATTTCGACTTCACCACCGAAAATTCTTGGATGTTCATTTAATCTTTTGACTAAATCTTCAACAAACTTCTGGTTCTCCTCGGACCATGGTGCTTGTGAGAAGTTTCTTGTACTGTGTCTCTTTTCGAAGGCTTCTGCCATTGTAAGGATCTTAGGCTGTTCCTCAGTCATGCGAAAAATGAATTTGATAAAGAATTCAATAGAATTTTATCGATAAAATTTCAGAAACGATTAAATTACACTCAAAGCCAAAAGAGTTTTCGCCGAATAATTTATACTATCCTCAATATGTAGAATTGTTTTAATTAAATTATTTCATATTTGAATTTTTTACATCGATCTCGCAATTAACCGGTTTTAACCTTAAATACTTTCAAAAATAACCAGGCCTATTTGCAATCAGAGTAGGGGTAATTTTAGCTAAAAGTGACACACTTGTAAAAAGTGACACACCCATGAAGGGTGTGATTACCGATCGGTAATTTCGACAGTTTAGAATTTAAAATTTTTTATGGAACTGTTGCGAGTTTCATAAAGAATTTAAGGAATATAAGCAAAGATTTGAATCAAAATCTTAGACCTAAGCCGCTCGATTCGCTCGCGGCTTCCGCGAATTACAGATCAGCAAAGATTTGAATCAAAATCTTCGAACTAAGCCGATCGCTTCGCTCGCGGCTTTCTTTATTATTTTAAATTTGCATATTTCCATCAAAAGTTCATAAGGTAAAAAATTTCGTTTATATATTGCAAAATAAAATCTTCATTATCAAAATAATATTAAATAATAATATAATATAATTTATAAACAACTATTATTTAATAAAGTTTAATTGCCAAGGTTCATCTAATTTTTTGATTTTTAATGTTTTATGAATTTTATTTATCATGTATATATCTAATGAAGATTATATATGTAGAAGATAAGTACCTTAATATGTACGTAAATTTTAATGAAATTTATACAACATTATAAAAATTTATGAATAAAAACTTGATATAAAATAACATTTTTATTTTTACTAAGAAAAAAAAGGTTTTTGATAATAAATTTATTTTATTTCGAAAAAGTAGCAATAATCGTAAAAGGGTATTGATAGGCTTGCTAAAGTAACTAATTTTAGCTGTCAAATACTTTTGTATTTTGAAGTAAATTAGTATAAATTTGTTTTTACTTTTATTTCGAAAAAGTAGCAATAATCGTAAAAGGGTATTGATAGGCTTGCTAAAGTAACTAATTTTAGCTGTCAAATACTTTTGTATTTTGAAGTAAATTAGTATAAATTTGATATTATTTTAACTCCCTTTGAAAACCTCAATTTTCCATACAGAGGGAGCGGGAATAGCATCCAATATTCCCTGAGAATGGTTGCGCATTCTCAGTTCCCTCTATATTTCGAACAAAGCTCTCATCGGTCTTTTTTTAATATTAAGGATACCCTTACATTGCGTAGTTAGAAAGAGAATATGATATTGTCATGATTGCTAAAGTTTTAGGCTCCAGAAATGAATATACATCAAACTGAAACAATTGATAAATTGAATGAACTTTTGAGAGGTTCTCAAATAAAAAAAATTATCTAATTTTTTACAATATTACTATTATTTTATCCACATATGTATATATAGTAATTTGAGAAAACTTTTAGGAAAAAATAAGTTTAATAAAAATCTGAATTTTACTTGTTGTGGGATTGTTATTAATTGACACTCCAGACGTATTACTAATAGTTATGCGTATGCAATTCAAGTATTTCTGATGGACAAAATGTGAGATTTATATCAGATAATTCATTTCTACTATTAAGTTATTCATTTATGAGTTTGCACTTATTCGCACTAAATAAATAACTATTAAAAATTGTTTTAATTAATTGACACCATATAATAGAGTGAATTTTGTTTGATCAAACAACAATAGATGATAGATATAAAGCCAAGAAACTTGCTATTAATATGCTCTACTTGCTATTTCAATGTAAGTATGATATTTTCTAAATGTTTCGTTCAGATAACTTAGATATATTAGTCAAAATTTGAAATTTTAATAGCACATATATTAAAAATAATTATTATTCATAAAAGATTAATGAAATAGTAAAAAAAATCAATCAAATTATAAAAATACAACATTTAGAAGAATTCTTATTATCCTTCAAAAAGTCAGTATTTCTGCTGTAATTTTCTACAACATTGTAGTTATTGCACTTTGTCTATGGATTTGTATATATGTTATATATAAATTATATATCTAAACTGCCCATAAGTGCAATTTTTATATAAATTGTTTATTTCTTTAACAATTTCATATGAAATATGCTTTTTTAAGCGTATCAAAGCTGTGTTCTTAATGTGCATGGATATATCAAGAAAAATGTCGAAAAAAATGTGAATTCACAAATTCACTGAATTTTCACCATTTTTTGAATTTTGCTACAGCACTAATATTAAATAATACTAAAATCTTCTGTCTTTGTAAAAGAATAAATTCTGACAAAAAGTGCTCGTTTAAATTTAATGATCATCTGTATGACTAAGTGGTAAAAAGTGTTTATGACCAAAAAAGGGTTACATGCTTAGTCTATTTTTCTGACAGGATACTCTAGATTTACATGATCTCTATTTCATATCTCCGTTTTTAGATTCTTCGACAGATTTTATGATAGAAAACCAAGATTAACAAATTTCCGGCATGTTAATGAAGAAATCTGCAGCTACCCTCAATATTATTTCAATAATCAGTATCGTTTCTCTTACAATTTATTTTTTTCTCAATAATTTAACAAAATAACAATACACACTTGGTTTTACGTATAAAAGCTAAGTGTCGAACTTAATCAACTTTACTTACTTAGCAAATGAATATTTTTGTGGTTGCGAGTTCTGAATGCTGAAGTTTTAGATTTCTCTATAAATGATATCATTGCACTTACAATGTTGTTCCAGCCTATCGCATAAATCATAGAAAATCCAAAAAAAAAAATAATATAAAGAAAATTCATGTCATGAAGTTCAAAAAATACCGTGTAACATTAAAATTTGTTATGCATAATACATTTTAGCTATTATTGATTTTTTTAATTTTCGAGAAATTGAATGGTGAGTCCGATAGAGAAATTTTTAAAAATCCTAGTGCCTCATAGAAGTAATTTCCCTCGTCTCCCATACTTCCAAATGTATGCATATGACATAAACTTTTATGCATTACACAAGTGGCCAATAATATCTATAGAGTAAAAAATTAGAAATTTAATTTTTTTATATGATAGTTATATTTCAGATTTGCGAGCGTAACTTTTTTCTCCATGGCATACTTGTTTTAAGAGCAAATGATCAAAATCGTCCTTCAATTATTGAAGGAGCTGATATCTTTTGAAAATTGAATTGAAAGGGTATTCAATTTTCAAATTTCCTCTCAATTTTGGAAACATATCAACTCTATGAATTAACAATTATGTGCCTTCACAGTTTATCAGTCATAGAAGGTGCTGATAAAGAAAAAAGTTACGCTCGCAAAATATGTTTTTATATAGATTTCACATAAAATAATTATGTAATTTCTAAAAAGAATATTTTTGTTCTTGAATATTAAAGCGTATTGTAGTTTAAAAAGTTTTAAATATGTTGCTAAAATTTCAGGTTTATAGCTCATGTCTAGCATGACTTCTTCGTATGCGCAAAAAATCTGACACGTAAGGGTATCCTTAAACGTTTTTTTCCCTGTCACTTTTAGCTAAAATTTGGGTTTGCCTTTGCAATCATATCTAGCCATACTAGAGGCAGCACAGAAGATATGTTTTTGCGATACGTTAAAATACTCAAGGTTTGAAGAATTATTTTCATAAATTAAACAAGGATTCCGCAAATACATGTGCTGAGTTTAAAAATCCTAGTGTGTAAACCATTTGTGAATCTCTTATAGTATCATTTACGACAATGTTTTATATGTTTTTGAAAAACATGTAATATTTTCGCTCTTCTACGCTGGTTATAAGAGATCTATTAAACAAAGAAGTTTGCTATTGTAGACAGTACTAAAAATACAAAAAATCCTACAAATTAAAATATATCTATAGAAAATACAAACATTTATAAAATAACAGCTTAAAATAAAGCTCTAAGATTGAATTAAGAAAATGAAAATACATCTGGTTCATACATTTCTTCTTCTGGCATTCCAATATCGAGAAATCCGTCTTTGTCAAATTGGATTAAGAAAGGATGTGCCTCCATTAACTCCTCACATTTATCATGGAAGAAATTACACTCTTCAATAAATTCCTCATCATCGCAATCTTCGATTAATTCGCCCATTATTGAATCGAAATCTTCTGAATCAAGAATAACTGCAAATTGATGGAAATCAAAGTAAACAGTAAGCTTCGGATCAAGAGGAAGCTTTGTTTCTGTTCTTATTAAAGAAGATAATTTTAATCCGGCATTTACAACTTTGCAAAGGATTCTAACACATATCTTGGCCAGTTTAAGATTCTCTGCATCAATAAACTCGATTATCTTATTGACAATTTCGTAACTTACAATAACTTGTATGTCTTCAGGAGAATTCTCGTAACTATCAAGGATGGCATCGAGTAATTTGATCAGTTTGCAGAACAGTGCATAAGGTGTGTCCTTATTTATGAAGTTTTCCTGGAAAAAAGTGAGAAAACTTGTTTGAATTTCAAATTTTTCCATAGCTTTCAAATACCAAGCGACCATCTTAACATATTCTATCTTAGGGAAGCAAGAATTACTCGAATTAGCCAAAAGAAGTGAATAAACAGGATCATAATTTTTCATTATTTCTAAAGCTTCTTCTATTTGACTTCTTATCATTATTGTTACTATATCTATCATACATTGTATAACATCATCAGTAAATACCAAAGTATTCACCATCGGAAAGAAGAAATTCGCTTTTGAAAATTCCAAAATAAAATCACTCGATTTCATGAAGGATTCAATTGCTAGAAGTGATGATATGTTGCCAATAGTACATGTATCAAACATAGCGGACACAAAGTTCATTGAACAGTTGATATCTAAAGAAGCGTCGTTGATATAAGATAAAGAAGTAAAAATTGAAGTAATTGCAGATCTAACGGTATTATCTGGTATTCCTAAGTACTGATTCGTAAGAAACTGAAGAAAATCTTGGTAATCCTCTGAAAAACAGTTAATTAACTCTGGATTATCTGTCATGGCGTTATCAACGAATTTTATGAGTAAATTAAAGTAGAAATTAGTATTTTCAGTATTGTAACTTGTTGAAACATCTTTTAAAATCCCAATAATGAATTGGAAAAATTCAAAACTGATTTTGGTGTCTTCATTCATGATAAATTGCCAATTAATTAGCGTGCGAAGTGGTATAATCCATTCTAGTCCGCTTTCATAAAAACTTTGAACAATAATTTCAAGTTTTTCTGTGAAATTCCATGTTTTACTATCAATTTTAATAGAAGAATCGCTAATAAGTATATCACAAAGCGCTTGGAGTGCTTCGGTTGTTTCTTGGAGGTTTTCACTGCATTTTAAAAAGTTGACTAACTCTTCTATTCGAATTCGCTTTATTTCTGAGTCAGATTGTATATTGTTATCTATCTTCCCTTCTTTTTCAATATCTTTACTCTCTGTGTTCTCTTCTTTTTTATAATCATTCATAAATTTTGCTAAAATCTGTCACTTTTTCAGACACGAAAAAAATTCGATTTCGAAATCACAAAACATTGCTGCTTCAGAAGAGGCATACGCATCATTTTATGCATAATTATTATGTATTTCAACGATTTATGGATAGCAATAGATTGGTATTGCTTTGTTTTAGCCTAGAATGCACATTTTGTCCACTTATGGCGTTTTTGATTCTTGTCGATTTTTTCACTTGTAAAATCGTTTTTTTTTTAGATTGCGTTTTTCCTAGATCGGATACATTTTTAGCTCATGTACAGAATTTTTTCTCGTTGAATCATGCATTTTCCTCTTCAATTTAATTGGAAAATATCTAAAGTTGAGTAACTGAAGCCCATATTATGAATTTATAACTTTTAGATATTACTACGTCTTCCTCTAGAATATCATAGATAATATCAAAAATTTTAGAGTCCAGCAGGTAAAAAAATTCATGATCTTGTTTTTATTAGCATTATTAATCAGAAGCGTCAAGCAGGATGTTGAATCTGATTGTATACTGCCAATACAAACAGGATTTGTGGATAATCTTGGCTACTGCGATAGAGGTTTCAAATTAAAATCACTCGGATCAAATGTATCAAAAAAGCATTCTCTTCAGTGCACATATTTGACGCACACACAACATCCACTCTATTTACCTGACCAGCCATGGTTACCATTTATTAATCCGCATTATCATTTTATTCCTCCAATGAAAGTTGAATTTAATTTCGAAAAAGTATGTAAATTCATTCCATCATCACTTGATCTTGGCAAATTAAATCTTTCTGAGTTCAAAACATACCAAATTTATTTACATAATTTGATGACATTTTCTTCACTTAAAATCATGAGTATCTGGTCAATGTCTCGTCAAATACACGTACCAGTAATCACGCCCTTGACAATTGCAGGCTCTCAAACCTACTCTTTCCACATTTATATTTGTTCTTCAATGGTCGGACAAGAAAATACAGTTATATATATTAAGACAGATCGCGGTGTATTCCCATACTCAATTCAATTCGTCGTATCTGAAGGCGTTGACAGCGTTCAAAATAGTGTTTTTTATACATCCATCAGTTATCCAGAAAACATCACTTTCAAGATACCATGGGCATCACAGAACAAGAAAGTACACGTTATATATGATGGATCTTTATTTGATTCATCAAAATCGAGTTTTAATTCAAGATTACTTCAATTATCTCCGCAAATGTCAAAACAAGGATTGTATACGACTTTCGTTAATGTTTACTCCAGAACTACCGTTAAAACATACTATTTAATGATATTTGCTTCTCATAAGCATTTAATTCCATTAAGACCAATCATACACATCGAAACTGTCACCAGTCCATCAGGTAGTGCAGAATGCGACATCAAAATTTCAAATCCAACTTCGATGTCAATAGATATTACTCAAGTTACAGTTTCTAACTACCCAGATAACGTAAGAGTTGGTCATCTCCCGTATCCGATCAAATGTGACCCTGTTTCACATACAACTATCGGTAAAATTGCAATTGAAGGAACAATTCCAGGAGAAGTCGATTGTTCCATCAATTTACAGTATGTTATCGCAGATGGATCAATCCATACAGTTAGTATACCTGTAAAAGGCCTTGTTCTCTACGGAGAATTGACTCCAAGTGAGCCAACAATAGATATGATTCAATCTTCAACGAGAGGTTACCAGTTTAATGTCACAAACAACTTCAAAGTTCCTGTAGCTGTTCTTAGTGTTTCAGTTCTCTCAGATTCGTTCACAGTTGGAGAAATAATTCCATTTTGTTTGGAACCAGGCCAAACATCAAAGAACATGATGATTAATTTTGCCATAATACCTCCTATCGATAAAGAGACACAAATCGTGATTTTGACAAACGCAACAAAATTAGTGATTCCTGTGAAGATTTATTCAGGTTCTATCTTCATTTCTTTGCCATCAAAGAGAGCAGTGTTCAAGGATTCGTTACATATAAACGTAGGAGAAGTAATGCTTCAGTCAATTAAAATATTGAATTTGACATTGACAAATCCGAACCCAGATCCGTTCTATTTGTCATATATTAAGACTCCTATGGGTCTTGACATATTGAGAAAGGCTCCGAATGTTTGCGATTGTCCTTTATTTCAAACTTTTGAACCTTTCTCTACAACAGAAATAAGTTTGGGCATACAGTTCTCAAGAGGTGTTCCAGGAAGAGCAAAGAATGAAACCATTTACCTAGCGGCCGATCAAACGATGCAAAATTTATTTCCATTAATAATTGAATGGACACCATACGCCGCAGACAATATCTCATGCGAAGTAGTACTTGAAGATGAAAATCCTATATTCGGAAAAACATATAATGGCGAATTTAAAGCAGTAATTAACATTGGAGACGAAAGAGAGGTCCAAATCAAAGATATAAAGGCTGATACAGACAGTGTAACCTTCACAAATACTTGTATCGGCAAAGTGGTCGGAAATTCCAACGAAAATATTCATATGTCAGATTTGAAAGTTACATATGACACACAGATCGTTAGCCGCTCAAGTTTACCATTAGCAAGACTAGCATTCTTGATTACCAATGAAGAATACGACATAATGATCGCTGCCGGTGTTCAAATTTCAGTTCCAATTTATATTTTCTTTTCAAACGGCTTAATATGGAGAACTATCATGAATTATCGTGTTAAGTTACCATTAATAGATGATTTAGCCATGCAATTGGAAGATTCAGTGCCTGGAGGCCTCTTAGATGTAAATATGCCAATTGAAAACATTTTTGATACACCAATGGAGCTCCAAGTAGTCATTCCTGTTGACAAAGAGTTCGCTGCGATCAGCGATAAGTATTACAGAGTGATTCCGCCGCATTCAATTTCAAATGTCAACATTACAATCACTTGGAAGACATTGGGATACAAAACAACAAGTATTATAATGCAAACAAATATTACCAGACCGTTTAATGTTGTTTTGGTCACAAATGTCGTTGAACAATCTTTTGACAAAGAAAATTTCACTTTGCCACCAGTTGAAACACGAAGAATCCTGTTTTCCAAGTGGGACTGCACACTTGAGCACACAAATAATTGCACGGCGTCCCTCAAAATCGTTGGCTTGGCCTCATACAATCCCGCGGTTGATGTAAAATTGGAAAATTACGTTGTAAAACCAGGCGGAATTGTGAGAATCAATGTTACTATATATCCCATGATGCTTATTTTCGCATCACCTGTTATGAATGTTGCTCTGACGACGAGTAGCAGTGAGTTTATTTACAGATCTGATATTCCATTGACAGATGAAGAATTAGAATTCCTCAAGAAGCTGAGAGAAATGTTGTTATGGGCTATGGTACTGCTTTCTATTGCTCCTATCATAAAGAACATGAAGAATATCATTCTGAGAATGTTGGTTGTGAATGTGATCGTAAAAATCAAACAGAGGAACATAGAAAAGATCATAAAACAACTGTCAACAAATGCTAAAAAGGATGTCGCAATTCAGACAATTGAAGACGAAATTCAAATGGAAACAAGAACAAGCGGTGGAACGTTTGTGGTAACGAATGAGCCGAAGTATAATTTCTCTGAGTCTATTGGAACTCTTAAGGAATTGATAACCGAGATCAAGTCAATGAAATGAGAATTTATTTTTATGTTATTTTTTGTTTTTTAATTTTTGATATAAATATGTTTTGTATAAAAGTCTTTATAATATAAAAGCAAACTTTTATGATATGCTAAATCATTTATGCAATTCATTTGCAGATCACACAATCAAAATCTAAAATAGTAGAGTTTACAGTAATGCATTCTTATCTATTAGTTATTTCTGATCTAAAGTGTAGAAATTGGCAATAGAATCCAAATTATGGTGAATGGTTTCAAATTCAAGAAAAAAAATCAAAAATGGAGATGAGGGGAATCGAACCCCTGGCCTCAACTATGCTAAAGTCGCACTCTACCACTGAGCCACACCCCCAATTCGAAAGTCCTCAATATTTTATATTTCTAATAAAATTATATCAACATTTCTCATAAATTCTTCAATTCATAAGAAATAGAATAATTCGTAGACCAAAATTAGAAGTATTGCTTAAAATTTTCAAAAACAAAAATAACACAATACTAACAGTTTATAAAAAACAAAAATCAAATTATTCTATTCCATAAATCTTAACAAGAGAAATTATTTCTTCTGGGCTCATATTCTCTACCTTATCGATAGTCTCTTTATTACATGCTGTATCAGTCAAAAGTACTCCTTTGTACTCACACATCGAAAATTCAACAACATACTGAAGAACGTTTGTGTCCCAGCAGTATTCGTCGATGTAAGTATTCTTTCCTCTGTGAATAATCCAACAGTGCTCGCCATTGTTGTAAATAGCTCTATTTCCTTCCATTCTTGCGAATCTTCCTATATCATGTCCTTCATGTCTTATTGAGGCATGGTTTTCTAATTTGTAGTGTCCATTACTGAGAGAAAACTTTGTAGAAATTGATTTTCCTGTTTCTGTCTTTTCTGATTTGAATTTTTCATCTAGTAGTTGCTTTTGATGGTTTAGAAAACTTGATGTTTCACTATTTTCTGTTGAATTGTTTTCTTCGAACATTTTATTTTGTTCTTTGTTTTTATTGATTTTATTTGATAGCCAATAGTATGTATTCTTCGAAGATTTGTCAACAGCTGGATTCACATTGTTTAATCCTTTTTTCATTCGTTTTAGTAAAGTTTCGCGAATATTTAAGTATTTTTGATTCATTTCGTTGCAATTATTAGAGCAATTTACTTTCCTTGGATTTGGTTCATCAGATCCGTCACAGCAATCGCAGATTCCATCATCGACACTCCATTTTTGAATATATTTCGGAAAATAACCTGTGTTTTGACAGTAAAACAAGCCTTCACTATTTGCTAACGTGCTAGGTTCATCCGATTTATCTTTACAATCAGCGAAATCATCATTTATTTTATCAGTTTCGATTAATTTTTTTCCATCGAAGCATCTAAATTTACCATTATTCCAATCAATATTAGTTTTATATTTGTGGACTTTATGCGGAGGTAAACCTTTATAGTTTGGGGAGATTTGGCTATTAGAAATACTAAAGAAAAGAAACATAATTTCAAATGACACTTTTGAAATCCTAATATCCTTCAATTATGACTCAAGGTGAATGTCTTAATGGAAAGCCTTCTCAATATTCTCACATCTATCACTAATTGACCTATTGCCGAACTCTCAAACACATCGAAGGAAAGTTATTCGATAAAATTTTAATCATTAATCAATTTATTGCATTGTGAATATGACATATTGCTGCCGTAAAGTATGAAATTTATATGACAGTATATAAATATAGTTATTAGAATGAAAATATTTATGGTTTTCAATTGTATGTTTTTAAATATACATAAGAATAAAAACAGAAATAGAAAAGATAGAAACGACATTCGATTGATGACATCTGAATGGACATGTTTGGATGAAACAGTCAGAAGTGTTGGAAATAGAGATATGGAGACCAGATTGTGCAAGCATGAATAAGAATGGACGAGTCTTGTTCTGAACAACTGCACCACAGCGGAGAAGTGGACAGTCGGTGAATGCGCTCTCACCAATACTCGTGATACTGGATGGAATGCTGATGTGTTTCAGAGATGAACATCCTCGAAATGCACTTCGACCGATGCTTGTGATGCCACTGTCGGGTAACATGATAGACTCAATGTTTCGACACATGAGAAATGCAGAATCTTCAACACGGTTGATCGTGTCTTTCAGTGTGAAGAATGCACGTGTTGATGCAGGTGGATAAACAACAAGTCGATCATATCCAATACTATAAACAGCAATGCCATCACAGATAAAACCAGCAGACTCGAATCGATTGATCGTTGAGAGTTTGAAACAATTCTCAAATGATAAATACTCAATTCGACTTAATTGACTTGATGAATCAACTGTGATGCTCGCGAGTGAACGACAATCTTTGAAACATTGCATTGAGATCATTTCAACAGAACTTGGGATTGTGATAGATTCAATCGATGTCCAACTGAAACATTCTGAACCAAGCGTGACAATGCTTGGTGGAATAATAATTTCGCTCAATCCACGACATCCTTTGAAGAAAAGAGAAGGAATGATGTCGAATGATGACTTTTGAGATTCAAATGTGACTGATTTGATTCCAGAATTCTCGAAACAGCTTGTTGATACTTGTTTCACATACAACAGAATATTTATTCCTTCTAGAGACGAACAGCCAGAGAAACAAGAAATTCCCAATGAAATATTATTTGTGCAAGAGAAAGTCATAGTTTTCAATGCAGAACAATTAATAAAACTTTCTCTATTTATTACTAATGGCTTGACAGATGAAAATGAAATGGATTTTAGTGTTGCTATATTAGAAAAAGCATCAGAATCAATTAATGTCAGATTACTAGGAAATACAATATCCATTGTTAATTGCGTGTTTGAAAATGCATTTAATCCGATGGATATTAATTTATTTCCAAATGAAAAATATACAAGATTTATGCAATTAACAAAAGCTTCTCTTTCTATGTATTGTAAATCAGAATTCTCTTCAAATGATACACCAACCAAGCTTTGCTTCGATTTAGATGCGCCTGCATGAATGTACTGAACTTTGTTTGGAATTGTAATTGAATTTGATGATCCAAAATATTGTGAAACTGATGTGTTCTCATTTGAATACAAAATATATTGACTGTCTAAATATATAGCACTACTACTATCTATTTCGATATTTACTCTACCACTTGGAAACGCATTTCCTTTTATAGGGTGTCCAAAGGTGTGTTTAGCACAAACCTGAATACTGCGAATAGAAATAAACAAGTTACATATATATAAAGTTTATTTAAATATAATCACCATTGGATTCAATCACGCGTTCGCAGCGATCGATCCAGGCTTGAAAGACACGCTTTAAATCATCATGAGAAAATTGCTCAAATTGCTCTCTTACAAAATTTTCAAGATCATCTGGACTCGCGAATTCGCGTCCTTCAGCTCTCTTTTTTAGCGTGCCGAATAAATAAAAGTCAGAGGGTGCAATATCAGGTGAATAAATTGGGTTTGGAACAACTTTGACATTGTTTTCCACCAAGTAATTCATTACCTTATGACTTTTGTGAACTCTTGAATTATCAAAATGAATTGCAAACTTTTGTTTTTGTTGTTTGGATTTCTCAAACTCATCAGAATTGATAATTTGAGTAAGAACATTGTCAATTAGATACTGAGCATTCATCGTATTAGGTTTTTGAAGAATATCAATTGCGATGATGCCATTCACGCCCCAAAAAACCGACAACATCATCATTGGTGTGTCAATTTTTTTCTTCGGGAATGTTTGCGGATTTTCATCCTTCGGGATCCACATGATTTTGGCTTCTGTTGCATATTGAAACCAAGACTCGTCCCCTGTTACTAAAAAGCGAAACTTCTTGGATTGATACGCACCCAATATAGAGAGGAGCTCTTTCGAAGATTGGACTCTAGATTTTTTTTGAACTGAATTAAGGTTGTGCGGAACCCAACGTGTATACGCTAGTTTGTAGTTCAAATAATTGTGCAGATAATAACTGACTGTTGTACGTGGTATCTTTGTTATCTCCTCTATCCTTCTGAGTGATGCTCTTGGGTCTTCATCTAGCGCTTGAAGAATTGCTTTGATTTTTCTTTGATCCGGCGATTTTTTGTCAATTTTTATGATGGGCGCCTTTTTGTTCATGAAGTGATACATCCTAACATGATACGTTACAGTGGAATAGCTTGGAGCATCCATACCGAAGCATTTTACCAATGTCTCGTAGATTTTTTTACAGTCTTTGCATTTTTTTGCAAGAGCGAGGATGTTTTCTTTATGATTCATTAAAAAAATGAAAAAAATCCCGCCAAAATTTCCCGCGAAACCGCCTCTTGTCTCAAAATTCATTTTATATCCCGGCATGGCGCCAAAATACAACATACTCATCATATACATATATTCATATTTTTTATTATATATAAAAAAAAAAGGTAGTGGGGCCTCCAGGCACTTCGTGCCCTCTAGCCCTGAAGATGTTTTCATGTTTTGTCACTTTTCTGTCACTTTTCAGGAAAAAACATTTTTATTATTATATATAAATGAATTTTACAAAACCACCGTTACCCTTCTTTGGAAATAAGAGTAGATGTAAAGATATTCTATTGAGAGAACTTAAGAAACTACCGAATGGTCTAACATTTGTAGATTTGTTCGGTGGAAGTTTCTATATATCCCATTTGTGCCATATAATATTCCCAGACTCAAAGATTATATGCAATGACTTCGACAACTATATGGACCGTCTCAAACATATACCAGACACAAACAAAATATTGAGTGAGTTAAAAGAAAAGATACCTATAGGTAAGATGGAACGTATACCATTAGATAACAAAAATATTGTGAGAGAGGTTTTGAAAAAAGCAGAATATATAGACTGGGATACGATATCTGCTAGACTATTATATAGTGGTTCTATAAGAGTTCATGACATTGAAACACTTATGTCAAAAGTTTTATATCTTAACTATACAAATGTTTTCAAAGAGAACATAGAAAAATATATTGAGGGTATAGAGTTTGTGAGATGTCATTGGACAGAGTTGTATGAAAAATATAAAGACAAGGAAAATGTTTTCTTTATAGTGGACCCGCCGTTCTATAACACATGGGATTTTCAATACCAAGTAGACTGGACTTTGAGAGACTCTTTAGAAACTTTAGACGTTTTACATAACTGTCCATGCTTTTACTTTACATCCGATAAAAGTGGTTTGGAAACCGTTATGAGATGGTTAGAGGACATACATGACTATGAGTTTAGATATGACAAGATAGAATATGAGAGAGGTCCTATAAACCGGAGAAAGTGTCATAACAAAGAAATTTTACTAGTAAGTAAATGTGGTTTGAAATAGGACTACTTGTTTTAGGTTTTTTCCATTGTGTCATTTATTTATTTGACGTGGCAGAAAGGTACAGAGAATATGAAGATGAACCAATGCCTGCAAATGTCCAGTATATGTACTCGTAAGAGATATTTTTATCTAATATTAAATGGACGCACAGAACTTAGCAAATGCACAGCAACCTGGACAACCAAACCCAGAGAATATTCCAAATGAAGTTAGAATACAAACTGCAATGGCAAACTATGGTCAAGTGCCAACAGATGTACAAATGCAAACTGCCATGTCAAATGACGCTGCGTTAGGTTTGCCACCATGGTATGCAAATATGAGATGGAAAGAGTTTTATACAAACCCTGAAGTGGGATATAAACAACTTTATGCAGATGACGCGAACACAGGAGTTGACCCAGAATATGTTTTCTACCAGAGGAGAAACAGAATGTATGAGCTCCAGTTAAAGAATGCTATGGAACTCAACAGGAAACGTAAGAGACTAGGCGGACATTAGATTTTTACATATAGTAAAATGGGTTTCTTTGGAAGAATAGGAAACTTCTTTCGAAATGTTGGAAGAGGTATATGGAATGGAATAAAATCTGTCGGAAGAGGAATTTGGAACGGTGTCAAAAATATTGGTAAAAGAGTAGGTCAGTTCGTTGGTATTATACCTAAAGACCCTGAACCAGAAGAACAAGCTCCTGTTATACAACAGCCTGAACCTGCACCACAGTCTAGTTGGCAACCAAATCCAACACCTCAACCGTATTAAAAAATTATATTTTTACCGTTCGATAGTAGTTGTATATGAAACTAAGTTCTAAGTAAAACGCATGGTATAATGGAATTATTCTCTTTCTTCCATCTGTTGTAAACCATACTTGAAAGTCTGAAATACTTCCACTCGGCGGTTCATATAGCTTTGTAGGTTTTTCGTAAAAGTCATTTGCCAAGCATAAAAAAGAGTTTTGGGCGCCAGAAAATGAAGCATGAACGATAATAGCATCTGAGTCGAAAACATTTTCATATGTTCCATTAGGGTTTTCGACTTCATAAAAGTCCGGGTGTACTGGATATTCTGCAGGCTGATTTAACATCCTCATAAATCTATACCATGCCAAGTTGTTATATTTTGTAGAAATATAAACGTTTTCTCCAAGGTCTTCTATTCTATTGATTTTAACAGTTGCATTTTTCCTGTCATATATAATATCGAGATGGTACTCTCCTTCGTCAATGTTATACTGCTTTGCATATTCGATATAGATATCGTTTATTTTTTCTTGAAAAGCTTGAAGAGTTGTTTCTAAGTTTACAAGCAAATTCACTTGTAAAAGTTTTCCCTGTTCAAATTTCTCATACATACGTTTTTCTTTGTTATAGTATCGAACTTCAAAACCGACCGTAAATGGGAAACCATGTATGGCTTCTGAAATGAACTTCATTCTACGAAAGCCAATAGCTTTTGTGACAGATGGGTCTCTTAACCATCTTAACGGGTAGTCAAAACGATAGCCTTCATGCTTTACGGTCTCTGTCTCAAACTTTTGACCGACATTCGTAAAAAGTTCATCTAATGGTTTAGTTGTAGCAACTCTAGAATTTTCTTTTTCTATTGAAAGCATATTTTATCTAGAATAAAAATGTCAAATGAAACAGCGTCTATGAGAGAAATACAACACAACCGACAACTCATTATACAAGCTCTAAATAAGAACACAACAAACTTTTCAAACTATTCTAAGATATCTGAGTCATTGAAAGAAGGAAACTTAAAACTGACATTAAACCCAATGACAGATGAGTTTCTATTTCAAGACAAGAAGAACCATACTGTCTGTATAAATCCAACAAAAGGAACTTTAAACGAGAAACCTATATCTGAACTTCTTTTGAAAGCAGATGTTGACAACAAAGCTGACAAAGAATATGTCATTGAAAAAGTTCAAGAAGAACATGACAGAGCAGATGCAACATATGCAACAAAAGAACATACTCATCCTGAACTAGCAGACAAAACATATGTTGACAATAAAATGTCAAGTGAAGTGACAAGAGCTGAAAACGAATATTCTAAAAAGACTCATATACATACCATTGCAAATATTACAAACTTACAAGAAACCTTAGAGACAAAAGCAAATAAGACTCATACACATACCATTGCAAATATTACAAACTTACAAGAAACCTTAAACAGGAAAAGTGACGTTGGACATACACATACCATTGCAAATATTACAAACTTACAAGAAACCTTAAACATGAAAAGTGACGTTGGACATACACATACAAGTTTTACAACTGTTGCTATAGAAAGTATTGAAGGAACGGTTGAAGAAACTGGTGGGGATGCATTATATTGTAAACCTCCTAACTTTCCACAAGGTTTAACATCGGATGACGACATAACGACGATGAGAAACATTAGATGTAAAGATGTTTATGTCATGAAGGATGAATATAATATTAAATTCACTGCTCAAGATTTATAT